CGCTTTCTCAATGTCGGTTGGGGAAGGCGAGGAGGATGGATGCAGGAGCGGAGAAGTACAGCACAATAATGGACATTGCAGCACTTCCGTCTGGTGACCACCTTGTAGCGCTCCAGAAGCTGATATGATATTCTGCTGTGCATGGTGATCACCGTTCCTAAGTGCCAATCAGGCTCTATCCTGGTTAGATTCCGAGATCCTAAGATATGGATCATAGTGATGTAAATTTTATTCTAGTCGTATTGTGGAATTTGCATCATATAATCCATGCAATACCTTCACACCAACCTGCACGTCAATCTAGGTCTCTAACCGTGTGGGTCATTCTCGCAGCAGCAGCAGCTTCTGACTGGCCATCGAGCAAAAACGGACCCTGCATCGCACGCTTTCAGATGCACTTCTGCGGCCATCTGGAACGTTCTTCCTCGTGATATTAGGAAGCCACTGGAGCTATGCACTGTTAAATCTAGATTTAAAAAAAGTCTTTAGAACCGATTGTTGTGTTTAGTTTGCTGTCCTTCCCCCGCACCTCACATTAGCATGGTCAACTACGTACGGTGCAAAAGAAGTTCAACATATATACATATATCACTGAAGGAACACTATCACTTGCTTGACAGATTTATACTTTCTGCCAATGCACCATTCAGGATTTTTTTCACGTACAATTGTGTGAGGAGCTCACAGATTCTCCAGATATCTGGACAGGGTACCATCAGTGGGCTCCTCTGGCAGGTTGGCTGGGTCATGTAGCCATGTGTGCAGCCACGAAATGCCCATCCACCGCATGACCAAGCACCTTCCTCGTGGCCTGGATAGAAGAGGGCTAAGTGTGTGTGATATGGGACTACAAAAGAGATGGACTGACGCGGTACAGGAGAACCTGGAGCTGAGTGGACTTACTGATGACCGATACCAGCGGTGTCAAGATCGTAATCGTGTGGAGGAGACACGTGAAGGATGCTACTGGGCAGCTGGAGGACAGCCTGGGACGATGGCACAACAATGAACAGAGAGTGGTGTAGCTCAAAACCCACAAAGTTGGCACCATGGCCAGTGTAGGTGGGGCATTTGCCAGTCAACCCCAGGCAATTGACTCGTAACGCCTGGGTCTGCCCTGTGACCTTTGCCACTCAAAGGGCACCTAGCCTGGTGCACGCGCTATGATAATAACGTTGCCACTTACTGGAAAACAGAGGCCGCTGTTATTGCACCACACTGAGTGTAAATACTTGTTTAATGGTCCAATTTAAAACCGAAGATAAAATAATCTGATTTCCTGTCCTGGCTTTGAAATAAATTAGTCTCAGATTCAGCTTCGCTCTGTGCTTTCTTCGAGCGGCTTCCATCTTCGCTCTCACAATTCTCGTCTCTGCAGAAGGCGGTTCTTATGAATCATTACATTCGCATAACCTCCTACTGATCTGAACAAAAGAAACAAGGAATGATACAGGAACACTCTGAACAGTTGCGCATGAATTCTTAAAGAGCAGATGCTCTCCAGTGATTTCGGATCCCCATATGGGAGTCATTTATATGCACGAGATAAGAAACGGTGGGGCCGGCTCTGGTGAGATACGTGGTTCCGTATTAATTAGGTGAGCCAGCGCTGAAACCATTCGAGGTAGGGGAGGAGGCTTTGAAGTTCCACGAAGGGGTTGAACTACTCTACTGGGCCACCGCAGTCACGGCCGTTTAGCCGGTGTCAGGAGGCTCACGCGATGAACGTGTGATGTGCGAGGTCAAGAAGAAGTAGAATAGAAGAAAAAAAATGTGAAATTGTTGCGGGTAAAGTCGGCGGTGTCGTGGCGTCTGCCTCGCTCCGTAGCGCGTGCATCTCCTCAGCCGCTGTGAGATTAAACCCTGTGGGGGGGCGGGGGGGGGGCTTCTCGAGTGTGGAGAGGAGTTGCTGGCCTCGACCGAGCCCATCAATAGCCGTGAAAAAATCGTATCGCGGACAAATTGGTTTTGCGTTTTCACTCAGCTGCTCCCAGGCGACGAGTGCATTTTTTTTTTGCCAGATTGGCACAGTGAACGATTTAGCAGCGAACTCCGCGACTCGCGAAGCTCGGTCTGCGAGTTGTGCCAAGACGGACCCTCGAAAAGTTGTCGAGCAATGGGCCCTGAACGATGCCACCGCTGGGTCAGACCCTGAAGCAATGCGTGGAACTGCTGCTGCGAAAAGGGGGGTTTGAGGGGAGAGAGAATGCACCACACTCCGTGACAATCCCGGTGACACATTCCCATCATCGGTGGCAGCCGTGAACCTGTCCTCTGACCGAAAAAGGCTTTCCCAAGATTTCGCCATTTGCAAGACCCGTAACGGTGACGATCCGGCTAGCTTTCCTCCTCCTCCGTCTCTGCGGTAGCTGCCCCTCTCTTGCCGTGTCCCCTCCTCGGCTGCCGATCCGTGGCGAGCTTCCACCAGCGGCCGTCATCCCAGCGAGAGACGTGTCTCGGCTCGCACGACAATGTGATCCATTGACAAAAAGCCGGAGCATTGTTTAATGGAAAGACATCCCACGAAGGATGCCGTGCCTTGGTGCGGTGATGGTTGGGGATGCTGCTGTCCGTGAGCTCGGCAGTGGTCTCCAAGCGGTTACTTTTAAACAAATTGTATTTATTTTATTGTACCAGGTTATACTCTAAATACGGGAGATGCGGGCGTCCCGTGGCTCCACGACCGTGCCCCTGCATTCTGTGGGCAACGCTCAACAAGCCCGAGAGGGCTAAGCGGGGTGGCGACTACGAGAGAGAGCGGCGAGCGAGAGGGGGGGAACGGGGAGTGGCAGTACACCTTGTAGCGTGACCTGGCTTAAACTACTAAAACTCTTTTTATATGACCAGGTAAGGCACACTGAGCTATACAGCTCTGTTTCAAAAGCGACCTGGCTACAAACGACGGCTCAACGATTTCGCTTATCATCACGTGATGATGTATAGCAGCCAAATACTCTAAACGCGTGATGTTGATTCTTAACGTGGAGGAAAAACCGAGCGACCCGGAGAAAAAATCCGTGTGACCACGGGGAGAACATACAAACTCCAAATATGTAACAGGCGTCAGGGTCGGCATCGAACCCACAACCTCCTGTATACCAGGCGAGGTAGTTCACATCTTGCCACTGCGGTGGAGGGACGTACAAACACGCGGGGGGTGGGGCACGTCACAGTCGATGTTAAATAAGGTTCTTATCTTAATTACAATTTCATAGCGCCTTAATTCAGGCGCTGAACAAAAAATAACAATTTGTACAGCAGAATAGTGAGATGAGATGGGGATGGTAGTGCGTGATGAATATGATGATCAGTGAGGTAAAACGATGATGAAAGTGACAGTGAGTGGTTGGTGATGATGAGTGAGCGTGATGAATGGGTAGGGAAGTTGGGGAAAGGGATAGCGTCAGTGATGGGGAAGTTAGGAGGGAAGAGGACTTTTGTGTAAGCAAGGGACAATAAGCGAGTTTTACGGGTGGAACGAAAAATAAACGGTGAGGCCGATTGTTAAATGATAGCCGCTAAACAGAATATTGAACGACGCAGCCTTGCGTTTGCCTACCATGCATTCCACTTCCTTGGTTTTTTCGGAAAAGTCACGTAAAATAAAGTGATTAAAAATTAAGTGAATGAAAATAAAAATATGAAATAAAATATGCTAAATATCTTTTTTATGCGTTCCGCTGTTCTAGCTCTCACCCCCTATGTAAATATTGCACAGTACCAATATTTATTTACGTGACGATAACAATATAGAATCCGTAGAGGCCGGTGGGGGGGGGGTGCAAGGGAGGGGACTGGAGCTCTATTCTCCATGACGTTCCGGGGCTGTTGCAGTCCACGGCAAGGGCCGCGAGAGAAGGAAGACAGCGTCCGGCTCGCTGCACGCTCTGAGTATCGTCATCATCAGCACCGCCGGGCGAACACTTCATCCTTTGAGCCCGCTCCACCCAGGGACTCGTTCGCATTTGCAGTCTGGATCCATCCGTGAGACCGCAGCCCGCGCATTCGCCGAGTCAATAAGAAGGCGGATGGATGGGGGGGGGGGGCCGGAGCGCTGTCCTGACAGCGGTTTCACATTCGGGCGAGAGAACACGAGGGGCAGGAGCGACGCAGTCAAGCGGCGAGAGGGCCCAGGGGAGCGGTCCCCTGCGCGGGGCACTTGTTTAGACAACGCCATGAATCACAATACCCCCCCTCCTCCACCTCCCAAACCCACCATCACGCGAGACTCCTCGCCTCCTCTTTCACGAATCGCTCATTTCCGCCCCCCCCACTCTGGCTTCGCACGCGGCATCACCCGTCACTGTCTGTGGCGGTGGTCTTCATCAAAGTCCGGGTCCGCAACAGTCCGCAAAATATATGTGCGGGAGAGCAGATGACTTGGTGGTGGCTGCATCGGCAGCGGTTGCACGTGCTACGGAGAGGGGACATTACCCCTAACATTTATACTTCGTCCATGCATTGTTGTTCCCCTCTTTAAGGCAGTGTGATTTGACACCTGTGTTGATATTTTTTTTGCAATGCGTATATAGTATTCTATATCAGAGCATCTTAGTATTTTATATACGCAAAGTCGTTTTTTTTGTCTGTGCGTGTTCCGATTAGCACGGTTGGTTAAGTGCGGTGCGCATGAAGCTCGCATGCAGTTGCTGCATCTGTACAATGGCATGTAAAGGTTACGCAGGTAACCGTTACGCAGGTAACCGTTACGCAGGTAACCGTTACGCAGGTAACCGTTACGCAGGTAACCGTTACGCAGGTAACCCTTATAGGTGCGGTCGTGCAATTGCTGATGGAAGGGCCGCCCGCTGCAGCGAGCTCGAGATAAGGCCTCTCGTGTCGCTTTGGTTCTTCATCCGCGATAGGCCGAAACGTCTTAGAAGAGGTTGACATATATGCCGTCACCAAGAGGAAAGGGAGGCGAGTTAAACGCGTAGGCTTTCTCGACCAATATTAGTCAGGATAAAGGTTTTTTTTTTGGGGGGGGGGGGGGTTAGATCGCATAATCGCCGGATGAATCTGGTTGTTGTAATCAGCAGCGAAACGGCGTGAACTCAAATTGTGAATGTTGTGGGTTTACTCATTGACACGTTTTGTTCACGTGACGAACCTCACTTATTGACTGTGTCGGGTGGTCGTTGGTTAACGACACATTTATATTTACGCGTTCTAAGCCAAACCTCCCCCCCCCCTTTATTATGAGGAAAGGAATGTATTGACGTTTCGACCATCCGGCCTTGCGAAGGAAAACATGGAGGTTCACGGGGTGAGCATCGCACGTAGGTTCAGTGGGCGATGCTGCGCTGTGAGCAGTGGCCTCGCGATGATGAAGGTACCCACGACAACTCCTGCGATAGACACACGCGCTGAGGATGGGTGCTAAACTCGACTCCACGGGCAGCGGACGACATTGTTTGAATGAAACTATAAATGACATGAATGTTGAAATTGTTGAGCGTAGTTGTGCTTCGTGTGGCGCTGCTTGAACCGATTCAATTGAGAAAAGTTTTCCGCGTGGGACGCTCGTTGCAGCGGCATTTGTTATCCATGAAGGGCCATTTGTTAAGTTTTCATCATCGCAAACTTTATCCAAACGGGAGTTCCCTTCCTTGCCGTTGGTGCTCCAGTGCTACACATCAAAAGATGCCGGGGCCATTTCTGTTGCTAACTGGTGAGTGCCCGAATCAACTACAATTCTATTTTTTTTTGTATATGTTGGCACTCTGCTGATATCACGTCGGAGGTCAGTTGGTGAATTTCGCCTCCGTCTTTCCTCCCAAAATCTGCGATTGATCAAGTCGGACATGCGGCACAATGGCATATTCTACACGGGCGAATATAAAAAAAAAATTACACTCCGGCCCCTATCCAAACGTTTACGTATTCTCTTTCTGTTTAAAAAAGTGGCCTTGTTTATTTCTACTTTCGAAAATAAATGGGTATACACGTGGCCACATTCCGCCTCGTTTTGCCCTTAAAGCGCCGCCCCGGTGAAATGGAAACGAACGGGACGTGTGCTCGCGCCGCGGAGGATGCCTCGCCGAGGCAGAGCCGATCCATCATCGCGCGTCGCTTATTAAGGGCCGTGATGAGTTCCGAGTTTGTTCCATTAGGCAACGGCGCTCCTCCGCCGTCTCAGACACGTTGGCAGACGGCAGGGATGGGCGGACGCGGAGGAGGGTGGAGGAGGTGCGCTGCAAATGAAAGCAGCGTGGAGGTCGCTCTAGCCCGCAATTGTGCGCGTGTGGGTGGGTGCGTTTGCGCGTCAGGGTTGTCGGAGGGTGTTGCGCGTGTAAAAATGGCAATTTCATCAGCATCGTTTACCCCCGACGCCCCTCCCGCCCCGCTTGAGGATTTCACGCACGTATGCATGCCGGAGCGCACGCGTGCGTTCTCCTTCGCGCGCGCGTGCCGGCAGACAGAGCGCGTTGAGGACGCCCAAACCGAGCCGCAGGATGTCGCCGCTTACATGGCGCAGTCCAATTAAAGGGCTCTAATTCCGGCCTCGACAACGCGAGGTAGCGAGTGGCCTCGAGTGGTCCAAGCGCTCGCACGCGGCTCGAAATTCCGTCCCTCTCTTTTGCGCGAGAGCCGCCAGAACAGCTAAATCCGGGACAGAGATTTGGGAAGCCACCGCTGTGCCGTTCCTTGACCCACACTCCCCGATAAGTTAAATTGATGCTACTAATTAATGGTGCATTCTGGTCGGTGAAATAAAAAAATTGGGCCGATGTGACGCTATTCGCCGTTCCCTTTCTCTTGGCGTGTGGCGCCATGGAAATATAGGTCACGTTAATTGTTACACGTATTCATCTTGGTCTCGGTGAGTGATGATCCACCGCCAGCCATTCCCGGCGACTCGGGTGAATTTGGGAAAAAGTCCAGAGAAGGAGCGGGTGGGTACTCGCAGCCTGACCTGTGAACCCTGATTTACGACCATCCATCCGGATGAATGTTAACTCTTGAGCGAGCAACCGATAAGAGTGTGCGGTGTTTGGTGCTTGAGCTTCGTTGTTTGTACGGAGGCTTAACCACCACCCCCGTCACCTCTCTCGTAAGTAGAGGGAGGGAGGGGCGGGTGCCTTGAATTACTGCAACTTTTATCCTTCTCCACTGGGATCTGGCTCTCTCCCTCTCTTCCGACGTCAGCCCCGGCCTCTCAGTTCACCTCATCTCTGCCCAGTGTGATCATTTTGTAACGCATTTCCACCTGCATTTGGGAAAAGGCGCTCTCTCTCTCTCACCGAGGGGTGCGCGTGAGAGGGCGGCGTTGTTGCAGCACAAACCCAGCCGCAGTTTCTGTTCTTTCACGTGGAAGAAGAAAAACCCACTGTCGCGTATTGTTTTGGCCAGTATTCCAGCCAACAACAACAACGTAAAGAGACGGCGGTGTTTTAGCACCAGCGTGGCTCGTCTGAGACATTTTTGTTTGTGAATGCGAGCGCGTGTAGTTTTTTGTTACAATGAATTACGAAGAAAAAAAAAGTTTTGCAGATGTCTTGCAAGGCATGAGAATAACATAGTTGTTTCACAGGCTCTTGCCACGTCTGGCATCGTCTTGGCAGTGCCCGGGCTCCTCCCTGCAACTCTCTCTCTCTCTGTCCCCTGCCAGTTTCGCCGCTTTGCCAAAACCGTGTCCCTGTCTGTCCACGTACGTAACCTGCCCATCGCATTTTGACCGGGTGTTCGCAGAGAACTTGTGTTCACGGCCTTATCTCGAATCCTCCAGGCGTCTGGGGACGAGGTTGTCGGTACAATGGCACTTTCTGTCTCAGCGTGCGGTCACGCAGTTATCTTTTCACGCCCACTCATTTGTTTCTGAGTCATGGCCACGATGCCCGTAGCATTCGTCTGCACTTTCAGCATATGCAATTATATGGACTAAACATTTTTTTTATTGTACCAGTTAAGGCCCACTGAGCTATATGAATCTTTTGACGAAGCGACCTGCCCACAATTGATAGCTGAACGAGGTGGTGTATCATGATGTGGTAATTTATAGCAGCCAAATACTCTAAGCGCATGTTGATTCTTAATGAGGAAGGGAAACGGGACGACCCGGAGAAAAATCCATGCAACCACGGGGAGAACAAGGAAACTCGAAATATACGGGTTGTAAGGGTCGTGATTGAATCCATGCCCTCCTGCATACCAGGCCAGGTTATTAACATCTCGCCACTGTGGTGTCCTCACATCTAAAAGCATGCCGTAATACTATGAAAGTATATTTCAAAGAGGTCTGTCTCACATATATATATTAAACCCATCTAATAATAAAGAAGTATAAATCGAGGGTAGCTATAGAAAGTGATGAGATATCAATATCAGAGCGGAATGTCTTGCTATTCATCGCCTAAGACCCTGAACATGAAACGGACTCTCGCCGACACCCTTCTTTCAGGTAACTTCTTTCTAATCCCACGTCAAAGCCGCATCAAGGAGCGAAGACAGGGAAAAAAAGGCATTTTCAATCTCTTTGAAGCACCGTCAATTGGAACTGCGTGAAGAAAAAAGAATGTGAACATACATTTTTTTACATTTAAATGAATAATGTATAAAATATCTGGCAGTGTGCGCGGTTTAATTATGAATTGCCTTGTGTGTGTGTCTTCCCTCTCCTCTCTTCTGCTGCGATCCCTTGTCGGCGGGTGGGGACAGTGGAAAGCCAGAAAAACAACAACAAGGGTAAGTGGAGTGTTGCCGCACTTAAACACCGTGCAGCGCTGCACCGTTAATCGTCGTAGTTTTGATTCCCACTCGCACACTGAACCTGCTCGCAGCGCACGCAGGCTGCTGATGTTGCGCGTGTGCATGCGTGTGCATGCGTGCGCGTGCGTGCCCATGTTTATTTTAGGTAAGTGCTCCGAGGATAAAAACAAAACTTGAGTTGTTATCGGGACAGGAGAAGATTCTTGAGTGTGCCCCCGCGCTCTCATCCACAGTCTCGCGCTGCGTTGAGCGAAACACCGCAGAGCTCGCATGGAAAAATGCCGCTCTGAAAATATATATCTGGCTGCCTTAATGTCATTGTTGTACGTATGTTGAACGTATTTCGCAGCGTACGTAGCCAACCGTGCTGATCGGAGGCGCGATTGTTACCCTACAACATCCGAATGCAATCTTAACAATTGTGACGATTTACTCTGGAAGGCCCGCCTGAGCGTCAAAAGATCTGACCAATGCCGACGGCAACCTCACCGTGCATGGGGCAAGGTCATCCTGGTGCTAACCAGGATCAGTTCTGCTTTACTTCTGACATCTGATGAGACTGGGCACATTTTATTTGGAATATATTTGTTCGAAAGACATCCTTAAAGTTGACCCTCCTCTTTCATGTGTCCGACTACAGCCTGTGGTATTAGTTGGTATCAGTACGAGCTATTAAAGGCCGTAGAGTACTGTGGTCGAGTAGAGCTTTTGGTGTCAGCGTATCTTCACTCTGCATGCTCTATTCAGCACTGTTGCTACAGAACGTCATTTTAAGAAATCCTCTGGGCTCTTAATGTGGCCTTGACATAAGGCCCTCAATAGCCTGCTCTCCTGAGACACGATTTAGCATTTAATTTCTGATATCAGATAAAACCGCGAGCTTAATTTCCCCAGTGAAACACCTCGCGGGCTGTGCTTGCGTGGCTTTCTGCACGGCATGGGAACAAAGATCGGATCCCCATGTGAAAGTCATTGAAGGCGCTGTTACTTGGAAGAAAACTCACTTTTTATGAGCTAGCCATTCCGTCCGCACGGAGAAAAAAAAAGGGAAGTCTAAGCATTTTTGTCTTTCAATGCAAGCGGTTTGATAGCCTCAGCGGTCAGCACATTCGCCACTGGGCCAGTTTGCGCGAGGGTCAGCTGGTTCAATTCCCACAGCCGTGGGTCAAGTGTTGTACGAAATTACCAAAGTGTGTTGTTTGCCGAGGGGTAGAGGCAGTTTCACCGTAGTTAGCGAATTCTGCTCTGGAACCCCAGCCACCTGAATTCAATTCCCTGGCCAATGCCGACATAGGTGGCGAGTGATATCTGAATCATTGTAACAAAAATATAATTAATATAAAATAAAATGGAATGGTGCCAAAGTGATCAGTGCACTGTACAATTAATTTGGTGGCCTGAGTGACGTCAGTGCCTCGTAATATCAATGCCTAGTGACATCAGTGCCTAGTGACATCAATGTCTAGTGACGTCAGTGCCTAATGACGTCAGCGGCTAGTGACATCAGTGTCTAGTGACATCAATGCCTAGTGACGTCAGTGCCTAGTGACATCAATGTCTAGTGACGTCAGTGCCTAATGACGTCAGTGGCTATTGACATCAGTGTCTAGTGACGTCAGTGCCAAGTGACGTCTCACCTGCTTTCCTGTCCACCCCACTTCACCAACCCGGCCAAACAATTCCCCCCGCCCCTTGACCGCCGACACAGCGCCAGGGGAGTGGGGCATTCATTCAGCAGTCGGGGCTGACCAAGCGCTGTAAAGCTGACGCTCAATATTCACTACCGTGCAAGGGGGCATTCCAAGACAATGCTGCGGTTTCATCGTCATTGTCACGGGTGCAGCATTTTGTGGCGATGCCGTGGCTGAAACGCTGCCGGGAGTTGAACGTCACCGCGCGCGAGCGAAAGGTGACGGCGCTGCGACCCGCCGTCCCCATGTGTCCGTGGTCTCTCATTGCCGGGCAGTGATGAATCCACAATGGGGCTCCATCCTGATTGAATGAAGGGCGTAAAACATTTAAAGAAATAATCAGTCGGGGTCAACTGGCTATCTTGTGTCAGTCGAGGGCCGTTCGTGCCCACGTTGGTTGACCGGTGGCTGCGCTCGTGATTAGATTAAACCGAGTTGTGTTCCTCGTTTAAATTAACTCCGAAAACTCCAGTCGAGGCGCGATGTGTCTTTTTGGCATGCGGCTTTGAGAGGGGCCGGGCACAGCCTTGCAATCGGAATCAGGCACACCGGCGGGAATGAACAGATACAAAACAACGTGAGCGATATATCAGCCTAAAAATGTGAATTTTAAAAGTTGCATAAAGAATGTGTGACTTTTGATTTGTTTTCATTTAAATCTACTTTTGCGAAAGCGAGCTGCTAAAAAGTGGAGCAGGATTATATTAAAGTTTTCCAAATTGAAAATGCAATTCAATGCGATTCAAAAAGCAAGAGGTGCCTGGGTAGCCCGACGATTGCAGCACTGAACCGGAACCACTAACATCCTGGGTGGGAATTTTGGCAGCCACCCACGAGAATTCTGCATTTTCAAACGGACAGCGTATTATGGTCTCAACCTGTTTGCCAGGCACTGCGTAATGCACGTTTAGGTTTTCAATCAAACTGTTTAAACGAAACCCAAAGAAACTTTTCATTTTACCAGGTAAGGCCCACTGAGCTATACAGCTCATTTTCAGAAGCGATCTGCAGCAGCCAAATATTCTAAATGCGCGATGTTGATTCTGAATGTGGAGGGAAACCCCAGGGGACCCGGAGAAATATCCACGCGACCACAGTGACAGAGACATGAAAACTCCAAATATACAGGCGTTAGGGTCGGGATCAAACCCACGACCTCATGCATGCCAGGTGAGGCAATTAACATCTCGCCACCGTGGCACCTTATAGCAGCATGTGCAGAGCCCTGAATGTGGATAAGACAGCACGCAAAGTGATCTCAGAAATAGTTCCGCATTATTATCTTCCACAGGCCTTTCCCTACATGGTGGGGGGTGGTGCACTACTTTTTGAGAGTTCCAATTGGAGATGTCTACATCTCACGGCATGGCACCAACAGCGCAATCAATCGCAGCGGAATACCGACGTTTTATACATTTCGAACGTGGATGCGTTTCAAATAAGTAGTTATGCGCAACACAAAAGTTGCTTTCTTTCCAGAAGCGGACTTGTTACAGCCATCCAAATCACACACACGAACGAAAAAAAAATGGCAGTTGACTCGTTGTAATCATGGACACGTTCCTTCTACCGCTGTGCATGCAATCAAATCGGGCGATCGTTTTGTGCACGTGTCGAGTTCCCACTGCCACGGAAGGAGATAGCAGGGAGAGGAAGCTGCAGAGAAAATTACAAAGTGTGATTGGAGATCCGCAGCGAATCACCTCCTGGTCTAGCGATGGCCATTGTCACGCATCCTTCTTGCTGTGACACAAACTTTCCGCTTCATATTTGGTAACTGCATTTTCTCTGTACTTTTCGAAATTTAGTGTCATTTTTTCGAGCACTTTTTATTCTAAATCCACTGTATGGATGAAGCCCTCTCGATGCTGTGGTGGTTCACCGTGGTGGCGAGATGTTATCTCCCTCGCCTGGTATGCAGCAGGTCTTGGGTCCGATCCTGACCCTGACGCCTGTATATTTGGAGTCTGCACGTTCACTCTCCCCGTAGTCTCGTGGATTTTTCTCCAGGCCCTCCGGTTTTTCCCAACACATTTAGAATCAACGTGCGTTTATAGTATTTGCATACGTTTCCACGCGATGATAAGCCGCTTTCGTTGAGTTATCATTTGTGATGTATAGGTCGCTTCTGAAAAGGATCTATATAGTTCAGTGGGCCTTACCTTGTAAAATAAAAGTTTATTTTATTTTACTTCATCAATGTAGTCACTTCAAGTTGGTGAGGTGGGGGGGGGGGGGTAGAACTGGTTGTGAGCAGGAATCCAACTCCAGTGGCTGGGATCAGAACCCAGTACCCAGATCACTGTGATGCCACCTCTCCACTCTCGCTGTAATTTCGCAGAGTAATAAAATGTTTCATGTTCGGCAATAATTGAAAAATATATAAAAAAATGCATACACTCTTTATGACGGTGATACTTAAATGTATTTAATAAGGTTTATAGATGAAACATGACTCGAAAATGTGTAAGGGGTGAAGTGATGTCAGTGGTTAGTGAACATTTGAACTGTGAAAGCCTGCGACATGAGTTTTCTGCCCTTGGGTAAGATCAGTGGTGAGTGTTATCTGAGCCCGGTCCAGGGCTTCCATCACTAATCAGCGTGGTGAAGTATGGTCAAACAACCCCTTCCCCCTCGTGTCCGAGATGTGTTGTGGGACGCCTACATCCAGCAATGGATTGACAAAGGTCTATCACAGATTTTAATTGTTTTCAAAAGAGCAAAAAGCTAGGGGAAATTTAGTTAAATAAAAAAAAATTCGCACTATTTCCTCGACATTATTTATTTAAAGCCGACTTGATATACATTTGAGTTGACGCGTCTGAGTTCCTCTGTACGTGTGCAAATATGTAATTATTTTTTCAAACCGCAAGAGATTCCCATCGGTGCCGCTCGCCGCATTCGTTACCGAGCGCCTGGCAGAGAGGGCTCGCCGCTCGGAAAGAAAGCCTTAGAGAGAGCAAGAGAGAGAGAGCGCGAGTCACCGATGAGAGCCGCTGTATGTGCCCCCCCCCCCCTTCCCTCTCGCTCCGGCAGGCCACGTACGTGCGTGGGCCAACCGCAATGGCACACTCGTCGAGGGAGAAGAGCTGCAGCTGAGCTGCCACGTGGACCACACGGACGGCTCGCCCATCCAGTGGTCCAACCCGGCGCAGCAAACTCTCTTCTTTGAGAACAAGAAAGGTACGATGGCCAGACCAGGCAAAACGGACACCAGAGAAAATTGGAGAAACTCCACATCAAGCGGGTGAAACGTTTATTACGGTTCTCCAGGCAGGCTCATGCCCACTTGACTTGATGGCAGGTGCTGTGTTCACCTTGTGCCACACAGCGACAAGCTTCTGCTCAGGGGTCCCCTAGGCTAAATCACTGCACTTTAAGACGTTTTGTTACGGCGCAGTGTAACATTATTATTTTTGTTCATACGCAAGTGAAGTTGTGTTGCTAATTCTGCTGTTTGTAATGATGGCTATGCTCTGTCCAGTTGTCTCATTGACCTGCCGCTGAGTGGTCGAAAATAAAACAGCCACGCGTTTGATTCTTTCGAGGTCTGGATGTCAAAAACAAAACCACGTGCATTATGCGAGCAGTGCGGTGATTGCCATGGAAGGCATTGTGCGAAGACCGATCGTACAGTTGCAATTCCACGTTTTGCAATTTGACACCTCGCCTTGTGCGTGTTTATTATTATATTGTTGTTGTTGTTATGATGCTCGTTTGTTCCTAGTCTGCACTTGCTTCTTCTGTCTGATAAGTTTCTCGTCATTTACGACCGGAGTCATAGGGTGAGCACAGGCATTCGAGTGTCGTTGCGATGGCTTATTTCTCCCAAATAGCCGAAAGTCAGTCGGAGCGATTGTGACTGTTTCCAATAAGCTGTCAAATAACAATACCGCGTATTCACGAAAGAATGTTAACATTTGCGGGCTTCATTTTTTATTCGGCGACTCCATTGGCATTGGCTTGCTCTGTGACCTTTGTTGTCGTTCTTCGGTTTGCCCTGGAAGCTTCTGGGTAGAGTAGCGTTGTTCAACAAGTTCACTATCGCAATGAAATATCTGCGAAAGCGCTCTTACTTTCCGCTTTAGTTTTTTTTCATGAAAAAGACGAGCGAGCCCCGTGCTCGCATATTCCCGTTGGGTGATCGCGCGCATTAGCGGTGTACGTCTCGTGGATAGGGTCCTGCCAGTGGCAACATCCACATAGGGCGGGCAGCAGCGGAGAGCGAGGGCGGATCACTGTAACCGATGAAAAGGTCTGTGAATGTCAAGACTTGTTTAAAAAATATATTTTGGAAAAAAACTCCAACGACTAATGAATAATGGGCCAGACGATGGCAACAGCACTCGCCGCGTTGCTTCCCGCAGGGAGTTCACTGCGCCGCGGGGGAATCGAGAATCTCCACCCCGACGATTTGTCGGATAAAAGCGTTGTGGCTCCACCGCCACTGACCAGGCGAGGTTTTAATGGATTCATCGGGGCGGCGTTGACAAAAAAAAAACGTTGGTTATATATTCTTGGTTCTTTCGGTAAAGTCACGTAGAAGGGAAATAATAAAATAATAAAAATATAAAACAATAAAAGTCTCACGACGTTTCGACTGCAACGCAAGCAATCATCATCAGGTGTGAAATCCACAGCAATATATTTTTTTTAAGTCCCTGCAGTCACGAAAGCGTCTGCACTAGAGCTAAATGATTAATCGATTTCAAATCGAAATCGCAATTTAAAACAATCGCAAATGCTGCGATTTTTTGCGATTTGAAAAGTCCTATTACTTTCTCATTGGAATTGTTTTATTTTTGTATTATTATAACTTTATTTATTTAACTTAACAATTGCTCTATGTGTGATTGTTCTATTTCAATAAAAACATTTTAATAAATACATGTTGGAAGCAATTTATATATTTTAAGCTATCATCATTGCATTACAATATATAGAGCAGTTCATATTTTGATGGTATCATGTGGTAATGCTCCATCACACGTTTTAAATCTATTACACAGTGAATATTGAACTGAAGCTTGACTTTCAAAAATTTAATCGCAAATCAAATCGCAATATCTGTCAGAAAAATCGCAATTAGATATTTTCCCAAAATCGTTCAGCCCTAGTCTGTACCATCCACACCTCCACAAAGAACCAAAAATAAAACCTTCAACGTCACCCGTTAAAGACATTCCACCGCTCTCATCCGCAACTAGTCAACGTGCATCTCTCATGCCCAGCATGGGGCCGCGTGCCATTTGACTGCTGAATGATTGCCTTTGCAAGATGCTAATTGGATCACGGTAATGGATTTGCACGAGAAAGAGCGAACAAGGCCACTAATGTGGGCAACTGCGAGAGAAGATGCAAGGGGGCAGACGTCGTCGGTTATAACCAAGCTGTGTTATTGCACGGTTTAAAAAAAAATCACATATCAAAATCGTTTACAGATGTAGGATACAAGACCTTGTAACGTTTTTATTAACACAGTGCATACAATTCACCATCAGGATGGAAACTTGTAGATCAAAATTGCATTTTCCGCGTCGTACAGAGAGATTAAATTCTGTACAACACGGAATTGGTGGGTGGCGGCAGGGGAGGGGGGGGCCTTAAGCGTTCCTCTATTCCTGAGAGCAAGTCTCGAACGCGCCTTTAGCAGAGGGATCCCTTGAAAGGCGTACAACACCAATAACAAAATCAGATTTTTTTTTTTACGCCAAAGTTAAACCAACCGTTAAATAATGTTTTAAAGTGGACTTCCCTTTCCCCGCACGGCTCAACGCCTCGAGGGCTGAGTGAGTGAGAGGGGGGGGGGGGTGGTCCAGGCCCTGCTCTCGGAGTGCCGAGAGAGAGAGAGGAGGAGGGGGGGGGGGTCCAGGCCCTGCTCTCGGAGTGCCGAGAGAGAGAGAGGAGGAGGGGGGGGGGTCCAGGCCCTGCTCTCGGAGTGCCGAGAGAGAGAGAGGAGGAGGGGGTGGTCCAGGCCCTGCTGAGAGAGAGAGAGGAGGAGGGGGGGGTCCAGGCCCTGCTCTCGGAGTGCCGAGAGAGAGAGAGGAGGAGGGGGTGGTCCAGGCCCTGCTGAGAGAGAGAGAGGAGGAGGGGGGGGTCCAGGCCCTGCTCTCGGAGTGCCGAGAGAGAGAGAGGAGGAGGGGGGGGGGTCCAGGCCCTGCTCTCGGAGTGCTGAGAGAGAGAGAGGAGGAGGGGGGGGTCCAGGCCCTGCTCTCGGAGTGCCGAGAGAGAGAGAGGAGGAGGGGGGGGGGGGGGGGGTCCAGGCCCTGCTCTCGGAGTGCCGAGAGAGAGAGAGGAGGAGGGGGGGGGGGGTCCAGGCCCTGCTCTCGGAGTGCCGAGAGAGAGAGAGAGGAGGAGGGGGGGGGGGGTCCAGGCCCTGCCGAGAGAGAGAGAGAGAGGAGGAGGGGGGGGGGGTCCAGGCCCTGCTCTCGGAGTGCCGAGAGAGAGAGGAGGGGGGGGGGGGTCCAGGCCCTGCTCTCGGAGTGCCGAGAGAGAGAAAGGAGGAGGGGGGGGGGGGTCCAGGCCCTGCTCTCGGAGTGCCGAGAGAGAGAGAGAGGAGGAGGGGGGGGGGGTCCAGGCCCTGCTGAGAGAGAGAGAGGAGGGGGGGGTCCAGGCCCTGCTCTCGGAGTGCCGAGAGAGAGAGAGGAGGAGGGGGGGGGTCCAGGCCCTGCTCTCGGAGTGCCGAGAGAGAGAGAGGAGGAGGGGGGGGTCCAGGCCCTGCTCTCGGAGTGCCGAGAGAGAGAGAGGAGGATGGGGGGGGGGGGGGCCAGGCCCTGCTCTCGGAGTGCCGAGAGAGAGAGAGGAGGAGGGGGGCCCCCAGCGACTGTTCGTCGTCGTCGTGTGAATGAACGAGACTTTCTTGAGCGCTTTGGAAAACGTTCCTCCTCTCTCCCCCTCCGCGTTCCAATTCTCTCCCCCTCCTCCCGCGATGCGTGACGCGTCGGCATCGACGCGGCCACGGCTACGACGCTCTCCGATTGTGGCGCGCGTTTTTATTTTTTTCACGTGGCTGCTGTTCTTTAAAACTCGATGCTTTTTAGCCACTCGACAATGCCGACGCCCATTTTTTATTCGGCTCCAGGCGCCGCTCCGCGCTAAAAGCCGCGTGTGTGTGCGTGTGGGTGTTTTTTTTTAAAATCCTTTATATTAAGTTCGCTTGCTTGCTTGCGTGCTTGCTTGCTTGCTTGCGTGCTTGCTTGCTTGCGTGCTTGCTTGCTTGCTTACGACCGTGCAAATCTTTCGGTCGTTTTTTAACCCACTTCCCGTGATCCAATCGAGCTGACATTTTCCACACAGACTCGTTGTGCGAGACAATTAATGTTCGTGAAAACCAATTCCCAAAATGTTACACTTTTTAGGCAAAAAAAATATTTTACATATATTCAAATAGAACTCATTCATGGCTTTGGCTGAACGTCACAGTGTAAGAGCCCAGAGCGTAACCCCTCCACAGGCCGTGGCGGAGTAGCGCAGTTGGTAGCGCCCTCGCTTCCCATGCCAAAGGTCGCGGGATCGATCCCCGCGTCCTCCACAGGCGAATATATTTTAAAATCCTTTATATTAAGTTTGCTTGCTTGCTTAGGACCGTGCAAATCTTTCGCTCGTTTTTTAACCCACTTCCCGTGATCCAATCGAGCTGACATTTTCCACACAGACTCGTTGTGTTGTGACAATTAATTTTCGTGAAAAAAAATCCAAAATTTTACACTGTTTAGGGAAAACAAATTAAATATTTAATTACCAATTGCTTAATGGTGGCAGACAATCATCTGACCCATAGGTGGCAGCCATCTCAAGCCAGAGGACGAGAGGACTCTAGCCGCCATGCATATAAAGGATTTATAGTGAAAAACTTTGTTTTTACGGGTTTACTTGTTAAATCCTTTATATTAAGTTCACTTGCTTGCTTGCTTGCTTACGACCGTGCAAATCTTTCGGTCGTTTTTTAACCCACTTCCCGTGATCCAATCGAGCTGACATTTTGCACACAGACTCGTTGTGCGTGACAATGTATTTTCGTGAAAATCTTTTTTTCCAAAATTTTACACTTTTTAGGAAAAAATGCATTATATTTAATTATCAATTGCTTAATGGTGGCAGGCAATCATCTGACCCATAGGTGGCAGCCATTTCAAGCCAGAGGACGAGAGGACTCTAGCCGCCACGCATATGAAGGATTTATA